AGGAAGGAAAGTAAAATAATGAGACCAAGATAAACAAAGTAAACAAAAACCTCATATTGAGCTCCAAATGTGAATAAACATTTCTGAAGGAAAAATAATGTCCAAAATAAAATATCCCTTCAACTAAATATTCGAGTTTCTGAATATCCATATTCTGTGGACGTTCTTCGAGAGTAGAACTCTAGTGCCTACACCAAGATACCACTAAGTTTTGTGAGGAATAAGCAGTACGACTTGTTTACATAATATTTTTGCACAAAACACCTACTATACGTTAATTCAGGGAAAACTTCAAATTGAATACTATTCCTGCCTTTTCCAAAAACATGGCTAGATTCTTTACCCAATGATATTACTATTGCCTTGTTAAAGGAATACCATTTTTTTTTAAAGCTAGTATCCATCAAAACAAATAAAAGCTTAGTTAGACTTTCAACCCAATATCGAATTCCTATAACATTATTATGTATAAGTTGGATATAAGTCCAGAATATTAGGTTACAATATTTGTTTCATCATTCTTGGTGGGGACATGGCAAGTCATGTAACCTCTCTGGGTTCCAAGTTTTCAGGGCTTGGGCTATATTTATGTGGGTGATTTCTTTTTTTAAGGATTAAAAAAAATCTCCTTCCCCCTTTTGCAGACAGACAATTTCATCTCTTTGCCACCATGACTGAGACAAGATATGCAGAGGAGATAGAGGAAGAGCTCATGCTGACAGTGAAATCTTAGCACATTTGAGGACAGGAAAGCACTAGAGAGATTATGGAGCAGTGGTGTCTAAGGGCAGGGATTCAAGAGTGTGCTCAACGTGGATCAAAATCCTGACTCTGCCACTTAATAACTGTATGACTAGGCACTGCAGTTTCCTCCTGATAAATAGGGTTAACATTTGTAGGGTCCGTATTGCCTATTATTACTATTACTACTATCAGGGTTTTTGATTGTTCTCTATTTCCTAGATCCTAACAAACCGCTCACTTAGAAAGATGGCAGCAGTGGGGATATAGA